TTTTAGATCAGGCAGAAATAAACAGAGCCTGCTATTGGCTATTTAACATTGAAATAGCCAATAGCAGGCTGGCTAATGCTCCGCCCCCTGCCTTCTGTCAGTCCACAGAGGAGCGGACCTGAGAGAGAAAAGTTCTCTCTCAGGTCCGCTCCTCTGTGATTGACATCACCAAAGCTATGGAGATGTCTGTCTCTGTCGAAGACAAACGCAGACAATGGCTGTGTTCTCATACGTTCCGGATATGCCGGTAAGGCAGGCGGTAACACGTGAAGAATTAGAAGTCAAATTGACTGCTACGCCTTTATTAGGCACCTAATTGGCTTGGCGCTGACAGTTAATATGGCGAATTTGATCAGAAGGGAAACATAACACGACAAAAACAAATTCACATTTCTAGCTATGAAGACTCATTAGCGCTTGCATCAAAGACTTTATATTAGAGAGCTAATTAATATGCATTAAAGTGTTTCTATCGAACTCGGCTCAGCGTGCGTCCCGCTCAAAAGCTCTGATTAACTCTGATATTTCTAAATAGGCCGGCAAAGCATGAAACAAGATGTACAGTGTAGATACAAGCTGGGACTATATATGCATGAGAGAGAGGATGAGAGAGAAAATAAGGGAAGGTAAGGTAAGGTAAGGTAAGGTAAGGTAAGAGAAGGGAAGAGAAGGGAAGAGAAGAGAAGGGAAGAGAGAAGAGAAGAGAAGGGAAGAGAAGGGAAGGGAAGAGAAGGGAAGGGAAGAGAAGGGAAGGGAAGAGAAGGGAAGGGAAGAGAAGGGAAGGGAAGAGAAGGGAAGGGAAGAGAAGGGAAGGGAAGAGAAGGGAAGGGAAGAGAAGGGAAGGGAAGAGAAGGGAAGGGAAGAGAAGGGAAGGGAAGAGAAGGGAAGGGAAGAGAAGGGAAGGGAAGAGAAGGGAAGGGAAGAGAAGGGAAGGGAAGAGAAGGGAAGGGAAGAGAAGGGAAGGGAAGAGAAGGGAAGGGAAGAGAAGGGAAGGGAAGAGAAGGGAAGGGAAGAGAAGGGAAGGGAAGAGAAGGGAAGGGAAGAGAAGGGAAGGGAAGAGAAGGGAAGGGAAGAGAAGGGAAGGGAAGAGAAGGGAAGGGAAGAGAAGGGAAGGGAAGAGAAGGGAAGGGAAGAGAAGGGAAGGGAAGAGAAGGGAAGGGAAGAGAAGGGAAGGGAAGAGAAGGGAAGGGAAGAGAAGGGAAGGGAAGAGAAGGGAAGGGAAGAGAAGGGAAGGGAAGAGAAGGGAAGGGAAGAGAAGGGAAGGGAAGAGAAGGGAAGGGAAGAGAAGGGAAGGGAAGAGAAGGGAAGGGAAGAGAAGGGAAGGGAAGAGAAGGGAAGGGAAGAGAAGGGAAGGGAAGAGAAGGGAAGGGAAGAGAAGGGAAGGGAAGAGAAGGGAAGGGAAGAGAAGGGAAGGGAAGAGAAGGGAAGGGAAGAGAAGGGAAGGGAAGAGAAGGGAAGGGAAGAGAAGGGAAGGGAAGAGAAGGGAAGGGAAGAGAAGGGAAGGGAAGAGAAGGGAAGGGAAGAGAAGGGAAGGGAAGAGAAGGGAAGGGAAGAGAAGGGAAGGGAAGAGAAGGGAAGGGAAGAGAAGGGAAGGGAAGAGAAGGGAAGGGAAGAGAAGGGAAGGGAAGAGAAGGGAAGGGAAGAGAAGGGAAGGGAAGAGAAGGGAAGGGAAGAGAAGGGAAGGGAAGAGAAGGGAAGGGAAGAGAAGGGAAGGGAAGAGAAGGGAAGGGAAGAGAAGGGAAGGGAAGAGAAGGGAAGGGAAGAGAAGGGAAGGGAAGAGAAGGGAAGGGAAGAGAAGGGAAGGGAAGAGAAGGGAAGGGAAGAGAAGGGAAGGGAAGAGAAGGGAAGGGAAGAGAAGGGAAGGGAAGAGAAGGGAAGGGAAGAGAAGGGAAGGGAAGAGAAGGGAAGGGAAGAGAAGGGAAGGGAAGAGAAGGGAAGGGAAGAGAAGGGAAGGGAAGAGAAGGGAAGGGAAGAGAAGGGAAGGGAAGAGAAGGGAAGGGAAGAGAAGGGAAGGGAAGAGAAGGGAAGGGAAGAGAAGGGAAGGGAAGAGAAGGGAAGGGAAGAGAAGGGAAGGGAAGAGAAGGGAAGGGAAGAGAAGGGAAGGGAAGAGAAGGGAAGGGAAGAGAAGGGAAGGGAAGAGAAGGGAAGGGAAGAGAAGGGAAGGGAAGAGAAGGGAAGGGAAGAGAAGGGAAGGGAAGAGAAGGGAAGGGAAGAGAAGGGAAGGGAAGAGAAGGGAAGGGAAGAGAAGGGAAGGGAAGAGAAGGGAAGGGAAGAGAAGGGAAGGGAAGAGAAGGGAAGGGAAGAGAAGGGAAGGGAAGAGAAGGGAAGGGAAGAGAAGGGAAGGGAAGAGAAGGGAAGGGAAGAGAAGGGAAGGGAAGAGAAGGGAAGGGAAGAGAAGGGAAGGGAAGAGAAGGGAAGGGAAGAGAAGGGAAGGGAAGAGAAGGGAAGGGAAGAGAAGGGAAGGGAAGAGAAGGGAAGGGAAGAGAAGGGAAGGGAAGAGAAGGGAAGGGAAGAGAAGGGAAGGGAAGAGAAGGGAAGGGAAGAGAAGGGAAGGGAAGAGAAGGGAAGGGAAGAGAAGGGAAGGGAAGAGAAGGGAAGGGAAGAGAAGGGAAGGGAAGAGAAGGGAAGGGAAGAGAAGGGAAGGGAAGAGAAGGGAAGGGAAGAGAAGGGAAGGGAAGAGAAGGGAAGGGAAGAGAAGGGAAGGGAAGAGAAGGGAAGGGAAGAGAAGGGAAGGGAAGAGAAGGGAAGGGAAGAGAAGGGAAGGGAAGAGAAGGGAAGGGAAGAGAAGGGAAGGGAAGAGAAGGGAAGGGAAGAGAAGGGAAGGGAAGAGAAGGGAAGGGAAGAGAAGGGAAGGGAAGAGAAGGGAAGGGAAGAGAAGGGAAGGGAAGAGAAGGGAAGGGAAGAGAAGGGAAGGGAAGAGAAGGGAAGGGAAGAGAAGGGAAGGGAAGAGAAGGGAAGGGAAGAGAAGGGAAGAGAATAGAGGAGAAGGTAAGAGAAGGGAAGAGAGAAGAGAAAGGAAGGGAAGAGAAGAGAAAGGAAGAGAAGAGAAGGGAAGAGAAGGAAGGGAAGAGAAGGGAAGAGAAGAGAAGGGAAGAGAATGGAAGAGAAGGGAAGAGAAGGGAAGGGAAGGGAAGAGAAGGGAAGAGAATAGAGGAGAAGGGAAGAGAGAAGAGAAAGGAAGGGAAGAGAAGAGAATGGAAGAGAAGGAAGGGAAGAGAAGGGAAGGGAAGGGAAGAGAAGGGAAGAGAAGGGAAGGGAAGAGAATGGAAGAGAAGGGATGGGAAGAGAATATAGGAGAAGGTAAGAGAAGGGAAGAGAGAAGAGAAAGGAAGGGAAGAGAGAGAAGAAAGAAGGGAAGATAAGGGAAAGGAACAGAAGAGAAGAAAGAAGGGAAGAGAAGGGAATTGAAGAGGAGAGAGAGAGAAGAAAGAAGAGAAGGAAGAGGAGAGAATTGAAGAGAAGAGAGAAGAAAGAAGAGAAGGGAAAGGAAGGGAAGAGAAAGAAATTAAGGAGGAGAGAGAGAGAGAAGAAAGAAGAGGCGAAAGGAGAAGAGGAGAGCAGAGAAGAGAAGGGAAAGGAAGGTAAGACAAGAAATGAGAAGAGAGAAAAGAAGGGAAGAAATGAGAATGGAAGGAAAGAGAGAAATGAGAAGAGAAAGGAATTAAGGAGGAGAGAAGAGAAGGGAAAAGACGGGAAGGGAAGAGAAGAGAAGACAAGAAATGAGAAGAGAATGGAAGGAAATAGAAGACAAGAAATGAGAGCAGAAGGGAAGGGAAGAGAAAGAGAGCAAAGATAAGAGATAAGAGAAAAGACAAGACAAGAAGAGAAGAGAGAAATGTCCCCAGTGTGACACTGGCAGCATAATACCTGACAATGGATTCAACCCTTCCCTGCTCTACCCACAACTAAACAATAATGAAGTTATTGCTTTAGATCAACTTAAACCCAAGCCTTCAGTCCAAAAGTAACCCTAAATCTGAACCACAACCCCTTATATTGGAATATTATCCCAATGCAAAGGACAGGGCCGTCCTTATAATGAGGCAGCCTGTAGTGGTAGCGTCAGGTGACATCTCATTGGGTCGCTCGGCACCTGCTGCCCCCTTTCCGGCTAGGGCATCCAAGGTTACTAAGAGCTCTCAGTGACCTGGGACGTTCTGGCTGGTGTCCCACTCAGCTGCTGGCAACCAGTGATATCAGAGAGCTGGGTGAGACGCTGGACGCCCCCCCCCCCCCATAATTTGCACCACTTGTACCAACCCCCCTAGGTAACGTGCACCAGCAGCGCGCCCCCGCACCCCCTTGCCTCAGGCGGCGAATAGTCTAGGGACACCCCTGGAATGGAATACTATTATGAAATAACAGCTGCAAAAACTAAGGAGGTTTTTTTTGCCTGAAATTCCCCTTTTAGACTAAAGACTATTCGAAAGAAAATTAGAATTTCATTTTCTGATTCCCGTACTTCGGCGCCCGTCCTCTGGAGCTCCCTTTTATCTGACAACTAATAATCCACCTTGCGTTCTTTACAGGTACTAACTTTCCCTCTTCAGCGGACCGAAGCGAGAGTTCCGCGAACTTCACAAGAACTTCAGGCAAGAAGAATGAGGCACGGCGAAAATTATATTCCCATTATCCATTCCAATTACACTCGTCATAACTAGAAAAAAAAAAGAACATTGTGCTTGGGGCGGGGGAGATAATACAAACATCCATTGTGATCAGCAACAATGCGCTGACTCACGGGCGCCGGGAACCTTGAAAACTGGCACAAAAATGAAGAATGATTGAGATTGGGGCTGCGGGGAATTTTTTGTAACAAGGCAATCCCGCGGCTTATTACGACGATATTATAACGGGAGACAAGCGTGCCCATGGATAGGAACAGAAAATGGTCTAGAGAAGCCGTAGACGCATCTCGTTATCCCATCCATCATTTTTTTAAAGGCTACAATGGATCTTTTACATGCTTAGGGAGGTGACGGAGTGAGATACCCCGCGAGTAACATTGTACAATTGTATTGTCATCGGGTAATTTACAGCAATCTGGAGAATTAGCGCCTTTTCTTTAAACAGCTCTGAAGAGCTCTGCGTATTGTCTCCGGTAGAGTCGGGTCTCTTACAGTGATATTAAAGCCTCAATTTTTTTTAAATGTTTCCTATAAGTGGACCCTCCTTTGCTGGAGGCTGTTGCTGCTTTTCTTTAAAACGGTTTAATTCCTTGTTTTCTAGTGGGTCCCCGCAGCGCTCTTCCCCCCTACTGCTGTAGACTTGCCGAGCAAATTTGCTACAAATTCATAAAGTGTCACCTAGAACTTGTGCTGAGAGTGTTCTGCAAGTCTACAACGTGCCAGGAATGTGTGCAGCAACTTAACAAGAATTACAATTTAACCCTGACATAAGTTTGTGGCAAGTTATCCTTGCTATCTGGGTGG